GCCATCTTTTAAGTTATTAGAGAACTACTTAGAATAATTTAAAAGCTTTTTTTTTTTAAGGCTTTGTTATTCGAATAAAACTTATGAGAAAGATGGTAAATGTTGCACTAAAACGATGTTTTAGCGGAATTTGGAAGGTTAAATTGTTTATATTTATTTAAAAATTCTGTTGAACAATGTGTTGCGAGTACAATGTGTTGCGAACAATCATTAATGAAAACATTTTTAAAACTAATTTTGTGTTTCAAAAATGACAATTATTATCCTCTTATTTTTATGAATAAAAAAACCCCGAAAGAGTTACGAATAAAAAAACTAAAAGTGTCACCAACGAAATTAACTTTTTTCCTTCTGTTTACTTCCGTAGAATGTTATTTAGAATATTGTCCATATGTTATGTAGAATTGAATGGTATATTGAATATTCTATAGAATATTGTCTAATAAAATACGTGAAAAATATGCTTTTCACCAGAGACTTAACCTTTGCAGTGTAATTTACGATGTTCGGTGTTGATTAAAATAAATAAGTTTTTCGCTTATTAGATCATTATAGCGTTTCAAATAAAATTATTTCTCAATTAGACCACCATGACGATAAAATAAAAATATTTTCCAATTAGACTACCATGACGTGAAGATAAATTATTTATCAATTAAACCACCATGACGTGAAAATAAAATTATTTTTCAATTAGACCACCATGATGTAAAAATAAAATTATTTATCAATAAGACCATCATGACGCGAAAATAAAATCATTTTCAGTTGCATTAGAGAGCTTAAATTATTTTACAATAAGGTAATGATAACGTGATTTGTCTCTTGTAATTAGAGCCCTTAAAAAAGCATCAAAAATTAAAAAAATAAACGTTTTGATGATGAAATGACGTGTATCGTCACTTTCGTAAACCAAAATTAGATATCCGAGATATCCAAATGAGGTCGAATAGAGATGTTTTTGACCCAATGATCTAGGTGTGAAAGGAGATATCCACACCCTTTCTTTGGGTGATTCACGGATCTTATTTATTTGAGCTCCGAGCTTAACCCACGGCGAGATATTGGATGCGATTTTGCGGTCAAACTGCATGACCAAGGGATATTTAAGCTGAATAATTAATAAAAAAACAAGCTGATTGCATTATGTGTCAATTGCTGTGAGGAGAATATTAATCTTTCTTTGTACTTGCAAAACGTTAAGTGTCATTAATCATTATCGATAGCTCTTTCATCATTTATATGTTCCTCTTTTTCATTTTCAGGATGGTAGTTGCGTTTTGATTTTAGAATAATTCTCATAAAAAATAATTTCTCTTTAGGCAGATTGATTCAATAATTCTCTCATTGATTCAATAACTATCTCGTTGATTCAATAACTATCTCATTAATTCAACAACTATCTTATTGAAATAACTATCTCATTAATTCAATAACTATCTGATTCAAAAGCTATCTCGCTGATTCAATAACTATCTTCAATGATTCAAAAAACTATCTCGTTGATTCAATTACTATCTCGTTGATTTAATAACTATCTCGTTGATTCAATAACTATCTCGTGGATTCAATAACGATCTCGTGGATTCAATAAGTATCTCGTGAATTCGATAACTATCTCAATGTAGCTAACAGTGGATGCGCAATAAAGAAACTAGTTGTGTTTACCTCATTATGTAAAGCGGATATTTTTTTCACTTTCGTGACTACGTCAACAGTAAAAGCGTTAAAAATTCATTACTTTCCACGTTAAAAGGAATATTTTCCACATTGATAAATTAAAAAAAACTCCCATATTAACAAAAAATATTCATTATTTTCTAATTTGATAAACTAAATGCAATATTAGCTTTAGATTCCATATGACAGTATTTTTAGGGGGTAATTATTTCTAGTTTAGTATTGATTTCGAAAAAAAGAACATAAATCTTCTCTCATAATAATTCCTCTTTAGATGAAACCACCTTTTTTCCAAATCTGACATTTATGTATCAAACTATTCCTTTGTACTGTTTCTAGATATGCACTGAAGATGTTTTCCTTATTTTTTCTAAATAACAGCACAAAACACGCAGCGTGCTATTGTATTTATGCTAATAGTGATTTTTTCAAAATCATTTCAATGAGCCCAATATGTTTAATGAACTTATTATATAACTCATTTCAGTATTTAAGGTTAAGGGCTGTATAATCTTCAAATACTATCTATAGCCTCAACAAGAAAAATTTCCAAAAAATTATTGCAATGAAATTTATGTGTTTCACGAACTACCGTGACATATGAATACATAATTACCTATATATATTGTTTAAAGTTAAGTGTTAATTCACCATTGGCACAAAAAATACATATAAATTCCATAAAATTATTATAGTGAAATTTATATGCTTCATGAACTTAATATGTAGCTACCTATATTATTTAAATTAAATGATGATTCACTGTATCCACGACAAAAAAGAAATTCATAAAATTATTACAGTGAAATTTATATGTTTTGTGAACTTAATATAAAACTACCTATATTTACCTCATTTTAATGAACTTGATGTTCTAAATGCATTTTTAGCGTCATTAATAAAGTAAAAGTATTTTAATGGCGAATTGAATTATAAAAATGCTTTAAATATAGTTAGTGACCCAATAATCTGAATATATTGCTTTACATAATTGAACGCATTGTAATTAAAATCAACTCTCAATTCTTTGTAAAAAAATTCTATGCTTTACAGTAGTATTAATTATAACCTTTCCTACTATAAATATACAACCCTATTTTTTCAACATCTCTTTTTCTTTAATCAAATGCCACAGATTGGATCATCTTTCAACCTAATTCAAGATAATAAAAAAAGGGGATTTTCCCATGCTAATTCTATTCATATTAAAGCAAACATTAAATACCGTGAACAAATTGTTTAAGAAAAAACGTGACAATTATATACCATTGCTTTCAATCTTTAAGGAGTGTTTAGACTTTTAAATGCTTTATATTATATGCTGGACTTCTGATTGTTTATCATTACCATAACAAAGAATGAAATAAACCGGCCTGCTTATTCATTAGCTTTTTTCAAGAATTAAACGCGGAGTAGGTGTTTTATGGGAAAATGGCCTCAGCATCTTTGGCTGGGTGTCAACCCTGCTCCGACACGGTGTCGCACGATCTTATTTACATTGCGTGACCTGTTTCAACTTTGTTAGAATGTTCTGTGGGCGTAGACCCTCTTAAATATTTAATTATACTTTCTTTTATTTTTTGGAGAATATCCTTTGATAATATTTATATCTGTGAATTTTTGTTTTTTTTTCGTGATGAATAAAAAACAGTCGAAAGTGTTTTAAGTAATTATCCGTCTTCTTATCTCATTTACTTACAAGAAAATTTTGCTTTTAAATTATTTATAAAAAATTTATATCTAAATATTTTTGTATAAATATTTATGTATAAATATTTTTGTAAAAATACTTATCTATACAAAATACGTTAAAACTATGTTATACTGACCCTCTTAAATATTTAATTATACTGTTTTTCATTTTTGGAGAATATCTTTTGGTAGTATTTTATATCTCTGAATTTTTGATTTTGCGTTTTGAATGAAAAACAGTCGTGTTTTAAGCAGTTATCGGTCTTCTGATCACCTAATATTTACTTACAAAAAAATTCTGCATTTAAATTATGTATACATAACTTATATAAATATTTATGTATAAATATCTATGTCAAAATACTTATACATACAAAATATGTTAAAACTGTATATTATACGTTTTATTAAATGAAATATATAAGTTTTGATAAATGATCTAAAACGATTAATGAGTTTATATATATATCAAACATGTTATTCTTTATTATACATTTTTCACATGAAATATTTTTAAATTTTATTGCATAAAATTCGATTTTGGTATGAAATACGCTTAAGTTCTGCATAATACATTTTCTATATGACTTATATTAAATTCTATATCATACAATTTATACATGAGATATTTTTTTAAGTCCTCGCTGTCTGAAATATGCTGAAATAAATCGAAAAACTGTTTAAAAGTAACAGTTTATAGTGGCAGATAATTTTTTTTTTTTTACAAAAATAGCGTCTTATTCCATGTTTTATTGAAAAATATATTAAAATGCAAAAATTAATACAAAATATTGCTCAAACTTAAGTAAGTAATTACGTTCTTGTTGTTGGAAAAATAAGTCATACTGACAAATTTTAAGAAACAAAATAGAATGTTTGACTGAATCAGATGTGTAGCGTTAATTATTTAAAATTAAATTCGAAATGCACACATGCGTGAAAAATAAAGTTTCCACGCAAATAATGCAAATTTATAATCAACTTAATATTTGGTAGAGACTATACAATTCGAAATGCAACTACGTTACGAAATACTTACAATTCAAGTTATCGGCAGTAAAATTGTTAAGTACAAGTTAGATCGTAACTATATATTAAAACATTTGTACTTCAAATTTTAACGTCCCGCAGTGAACTGATTGTAAAGTCACGGTTCCCAGTTGAACACCGAAGTCAAGTATCACTGGCTGTGGTCAGTAAGAGGGTTGTGACCACTTTGATCAGGCTGCGTAGTGACCAAGGGTGCGAGGTATCGGTCCTCGTAAAACTGTTCTACCGTAAAGTGTACGACTTCACGCGCAGGTCGTCGGGCTACTAAATCCGGGGAGCCATCCCCCCTGCAGAGGATCAAAATTGCGATAACATGTCTCTGGATCACCCTCAAGGATGTTTTCCAGACCTTCGCCAATAGCCTATTGTGCAACTGTAGAGTGACGTAAATAAATTACCTACCTACCTCAAATTTTAAAAATGTTTTAAAAATTTATATTAAAATGCGTGATGCAAAACTATAAACTGATAATTAATTTACATATATTATACTATTATACATATATTTACTATTATACATTATTATTTACATATATTATACTATAAAATTTTAATTATATTACTTTTTTCTTCCACAGACTCAGTGAACACATTGGAAACTGCCATTTTTCCGAAGACAGCAATCAAGGGGAAAAGGAATACAAATGCCGACAATGTCCTAAAGTTTTCAATTGGAAATCGAACCTCATACGTCATCAAATAGCACACGACGAAAGCCGAAGATACGTCTGTGAAAACTGTAAAAAAGTCTTCACTGATCCCAGTAACTTACAAAGGCACATAAGGTCTCAACATATCGGAGCCAGGTCTCACGCATGTCCTGAATGTGGAAAAACTTTTGCAACATCCAGTGGGTTAAAGCAACACACGCACATCCACAGCAGCGTTAAGCCTTTTAGATGTGAAGTTTGCTTCAAGGCCTACACGCAGTTCTCAAACCTATGCCGCCACAAGCGCATGCATGCTACTTGTCGCATGCAAATTAAATGTCACAAATGTGGACAAGCGTTTAGTGCAGTTACTTCTTTATCAAAACACAAACGCTTTTGTGAAGGGGCACCCACAAATAATTCATCATCATCAGCTCTACCCCTTCCAAATCAGTCTCAAACAACCTCACCTGGTTCAGCTGGATTCGATTCCAGCAAGACAGGGCCTATGAGCTTAGCACCACCCAGTAACCAGCTTCTGTTTTACCCTCGACCAGGATTTTCCTTGTATCCACCATCATTCTTCGGATACCCCTTTATATCAGGACCTGGACTGCCAGCACCACCCCCACTCATACCAGATACTGGCCTGCTACCTGGTCACCCTGTTAATATAGCGGCTGCTGCCCAGGCTGCTCAAGATCTCCAGAGACAATTTTTGAGTAATAATGGTTGTCAAGAGACACCGAGCACGTCAAACTCTGTAAAACAAGAGACTAAATCACCAGGAAAAACTAAAGAAAAGCACAATTCCGAAGTTTCTGAATCAGAAGCTTCTGAAGAACTATCGTCGGAAGACACTGCTGGTGAGGATATTTCCTCATTCAGTGACGCAGACTCGGAAGTAGAGGCTGTGACCAAATCCCTGAGAAATTCTCCGAAACAAAATCAAAACGGTGTACCACCTGTTAGTGAATCAGAAAGCCAAGCAAATCCATCAAACATGTTTATTAGTCACAGACAAGGCTCACCCAAACTCGCTTCGGTATGTCCCGATCCTTGTCTCATCAGGTCTCCAATCAATTCCAATGGACCCCTGCGACCCATCCCTTCGAATGGAGTTTTAAAACAGGATCATGACATGCCTTTCGATCTGTCTCAAAATAGTAAATCTAAATCCCACAGTGAGGATCTTTCGGATTACCATCCAAAGATGAGAGACACGCCTCGAACTGATGAACAGCCCTTAGATTTACGAGTAACGCCTAAAAAACCGTCACCTACCATCGAGGACGATATAGAAAAACGGAAAATTTCTCTTTATGAAGAGAAGGAAAGAATCAAAGAGTATGATAGTCCTCCTGTACTGGCACCCATACAAGAACCTATTCCACAACTAGAACTTCAAAAGAGAGAAAGTCCTCCCATGCCGCCATCCCCTAGCAAAATGCCAATGGCCTACCCAAGACCCATACATCCTATGTTCCTAGAGTCAATGTACAGATTTCAACAAGAAAAACCAGCTTTCAATCTTTTCCCTGGTCCTGAACGTCTCATGCCTGCATTTCCTCCGAGGTATCCCTTTTTAGGTCCGCTCTTATCATCGAATCCATCTTTTGACTTCATGCGAGCACATATGGAAAAAGTCAGCAAGCCAATGCATGAAATCATGTCCCCCCATCTAAACAAAACCAAAGAAAGGTACTCGTGCAAGTTCTGTGGCAAGATATTCCCAAGGTCTGCAAATCTGACTCGACATTTACGTACGCACACTGGTGAGCAACCATACAAATGCAAATATTGCGAACGATCATTTAGTATATCATCCAACCTTCAGAGGCATGTTCGAAACATTCACAACAAAGAAAAGCCTTTCAAATGTCCACTATGTGATCGCTGTTTTGGACAACAAACGAATCTAGACAGGCATTTGAAGAAGCACGAAGCCGATGGACCCACAATACTTGATGATTCTCCTAAAGCCAACGAGCCTGATGACAAGGACGAAGCGTACTTTGATGAAATTCGAAATTTCATTGGAAAAGTGACGAATAGTGGACACAGTGGCATCAATCCAATGAGTCTAATGAATCCACTGGAGGAACGAAAAAGAGATCGTGAATCACTGATGAGTTCAGCATCTTATTCTCCCAGGCAAAATAGCAGTCCGGTCAGTGGTCACAGTGATAATTTGGACGACGAAACAGATGGTGGTGTCAACGGTTCTGATCCCGACGATATAGAACCTTCTAGAAAGCGACACTGTAATGATGATCAATCGAATATTTCGTCCCCCAGCACAGAGCGAAGTAATAAAAGTCCTGATTCTATGAAAAATCAAATAAATGTACCATCAACTCCACTGAGTCATATAAAAAATGGAGACATTCCACTGAATCTGCACCACAAAGCATTCGCCTACGAAATGATGATGCAAATCAATCGGAAGTTTGAGTTAAATGGAATCAAAACTAATGGACACAAACAGCATTTAAGTGTAGATAGTTTAGACGATGACGATTTAGATGAAGATGAAGGGAAAGAGTATAGTGAGGATGAATCACGTTGCAGAAGTAGTTCTCCCTTGCCCTCATCTGAAGAAGTAAAGGTAGACTGAATGCGTTTCAAAGCAGTTGGACTCTTCAACGCATAATGTCAAATTTGAACGTGTTAAAACATGTTTCATTCAGAGAACCCCATGAAAATAGTCTGTTTAAAACAGAAGCAATAATAAAAGAGGTGATTCTCTGATTTTCTTTTTTCGGAATCGAATGGCGTATCATAAACTGGATTCGCTTTTAAAAACGTTATCAATTTTTGTTCATGAAAACATTTATTAGAAAATTTTCACGTGCTCTAGATCACACACAGAGGAATTTTTTTTGGCGAAGCTAGTCAGTCTGTAATTTAGAATATGCAAGTTCAAAAAGAGTTTTAAATGGACTGAAAACTGACATTTTGTTATCATAAGAAATATTAAAGCTATGCAATTAATTTTAATCAGAATTTAAGTTCAAAAACTGTGGTGCTTACGATGTATGTTCATAAAAAAAACCTTTATTTGCATGTGTTCAAAAAATGCAAACTATTACAGTTTTGAAAAATGTCACTGTTTTAAAGAAGTTATACAATGTTATTGTGATTACGTGAAAAGTTATGTTTTTTATTTTATATCACTTTCTAGAGTTGGGTATGAAATTGGTGATTCAAATCACTTTAAGTGATTACTGAAAATTGTCTAAAATATTTCAATATAAAGGATTTGAAATCACTTATAGTGTTTCGTATCACCATTTTAACCATCGATACAAATCAGTGGATTCCAATCAATTCAAAATCACGATTTGAATTGATTCGATTTAAAAGATTGTTTAAAATCAAATTACTGGAATCTTATAAGGAGCATTGATTCAATCACCACAATTGCTAATTAGCTAGAATCACGTGATTAAAATTATTCGTTTCAGTTGAATTATTATTTTTTTCAAATCATGAATGACTCATTAACTCAATTGATTCGAGATTTTGAATTACTTAAGTGATCGATTCAAATGAATCGAATTATTTTGATTATTACCCAACTCCCTTATGTCATTAAATTTCATTTGAATCTTCAGTCTCGCCTAGTCACTTAAATAGATTAAATAGGCATCATTACTTTCAAGCTGTGTGATAAAAAGCTTGTTACAAATTTAATTTATTTGCTAAGGTGAAAAACAAATGAATTTTATATTTTTTAAAGAAAATATTCCTGTAGTGTATTTTTAAATGTCTTTCTGAAACCTAAAAAATTCAATGATTCCAAAGAAATGAATGTTATGTCCATATGTACAAAGTCTGCGGTATAGATAGAGTTTATTTTTTATTTTAAGATGTTTTATAGTTCTGAATTTTTAAGTTTATTTTATGTTTATTATTTCACAAGAATCGAGAGACAGAAATTATATAGGTGAATTAATTTATGTCACATAGTATTGGGTCAGAATAAGTTCAATTATGGATTTAAAAATTTTTAATTTCAAGAGTGACTTACACTACCGATTTCTGCAGTAAAATAACCACAGAGAAAATAAAACTGTAAAAAAATGATTCAAAACTAGTTTTTATTATTGTAAATTTTTGATTAACATTTTGGTTAACTTATAACAGTTTGGTTAACATTTGCTATTCCATTTACTAAGTTTCATTAAATTTTCTATGCATTCTCTACAGGTATCGTAATCACAATCATAATATATACTTTTAGAATCTTTGTCAAAAAAAGCATGAATTTTTAGGTTTTGAAAATAATATTTAAGTGAGGAAAAAAAAAAACAGATGCGCTATCAAGATCTAGTGAATGATTACTTTGAAAGCTACAACTGAAAACATCAAAACCAGTTTGATTGTAGAAGGAAACTTGGATGTGTTTCTAACAAACGTCTTTTAGTTTCTCTATTTTTTTAATCAAACAGGTTTTAATGTTTTGTGTCCCCTCTTTTCCACTAATGATTCCTTAGATTTCAATAGCATTTTCGTCTTTGTTTTTCTCGCATAATTTGATATACTTTAATCTATATACTTTCTAAACTCCATTTTTGACAGAAATTCTAGAAAAATATATTTAGGGTGGTCGTTACGGGACACCCTGCATACAAGAAGCTCTGACTAATACAGATAATTTTACACACATAACACGAAGGAGAATAAATTTTGTTATTGGATTATTATAAAAATTAAATAAGTGATAAATTAAATTTTTAATATCTTTTATTTTACGTTTTTTTACGTTATTTTTACGGTTATTTTACTGTACTAATGTTGCTATTTCGTAGTGCTAGTCACCTACTGAATTATTCAGCCAATATTTTCCATTTTATGACAGTTTACTTTATAAAATTTGAAAAATGAAATATTTTAGTGTTAATAACAAAACTTTTATAATATCCATTCGTTTAAAAAAATTTGAATTTGATTACAATATTTTAGAATGATTAACAGCATAGTTAATGACAATAAATGTAAACTCTCGGCAGATTTTGCTGCTATAAGCAGAAAATCTTTTTTTTTTTTTTTTTTCTGTAATAATCCATGTTAATAAATTTAAAAGAAAAATGTATTACAATAGAATATCTATACCGATTTAATAATAAAATCGGCAGAATTCTTTGATGTTTATGTTCTTAAAATTTAATATTAAATACATTGATACTAAAATGAGTAGATACATATAAAAAACTTTGCAAGTTAATTTTGAAGTTCCTTTTAATATTTTTGTGTATAAATATTTAAAATTGGTATGTTTGATATATTTTATTTAATTTTAACTTTTATGAGTATAAATGAAACCAAACAAGTTTGTTTAAATCTCTCGATTTTATGTCACGTGTACAGATAAAAAAAAGTATTGTATTTATTGTGAAATTTGTATATTTATTAACTATTTACATAGAAATATGAAAAATAAATCTGTCATTGTCTTTTCATGCAAATGCATTTTCTCATTATTCTGTAATGTTAGAATTTTGATGAAGAATAAAATATAACAAACTTCTATGTAAATGGAAGAAAATTATCATTCATTTGTCAAAGTTATTTATTTTTGTTTTTTACTATTTACAGCATACATATACTAGCAACTTTTATCTAAGCATATCCCAGAGGAAAAAAGAAACATTGGATGAAGGTTCTAAAATAAAATTTTAGTGAATTTAGGAAACAGTAGAAATGAGAGTGGAAAAATGTTCGAAAGGGAAATTTAGTGAATTTCGGAAAAAATGGAAAACGGAGTGGATGAAGGTTCTAAAAAGGAGTTTTAGTTAATTTAAGTAATTTAACTTTAAGGTTTATTCGTTGACAAGGGAAATAAAGATCATGCATTTTTTTTAACTTCTTGTGCCCTTCGGACCTTCATCCACTGTGATCTACAAAATTTAAAGATTTGATGAAAGTAGATAAAGTTCGCGGTTAAATAAGATGTTTACACGCAGAATTTCTATTTTTTTAAAGGCGGGCATTGAATCTTCCCCAAATCTTATCTTAAAATATTTAACAAATTTCAATGTAAATGGAAGAAGATAATCCTTTAATTTATTTTTTTTTACTGTTAGCAGCATACATATACTAGTAACTTTTAACCAAACACATCCCAGAGGAAAAAATAAACATTGGATGAAGGTTCTGAAGTGAAATGTTAGTGAATTTAGGAAACATTAGAAATGCGTTTGGAAAAATATTGTAAAATGAAATTTATTAAATATAGGAAACAATGGAAAGCGGAGTGGATGAAGGTTCTAAAGTGAAATTTTAATGAATTTAGGAAGCATTAAAATGTGAGTGGATGAAGGTTTGAAAGAGAAATTTTAGTGAATTTAGAAAACGTTAGAAATGCGAGTGAATGATGATTCAACAGTAAAATTTTAATGAATTCAGAAAACATTAGAAATGCGAGTGAATGATGATTCAACAGTAAAATTTTAGTGAATTCAGGAAACATTGGAAATACGAGTAGATGTAGGTTCTAAAGTGGCATATTAGTGAATTTAATTAGATTAACTTCAAAGTTAATTGAAGATATGAGATAAAGATCAAGTATTTTTTTACTTCTATTCTTCTTCGGTACCCTCATCTACTGTGATCTAAAAAATTAAAAGAATTGACAAAATAAATAAAGTCGATGGTTAAATAAGACACGAAAAATCTCAATTCTTTTTTTAATGGCGTGACACTCAACCTTTCCCAAATCTCTTCTTGGAATATTAATTAACATGCTTAGCTTATAAATACAATGCATTTAATAAATGCTCAATTCAATCAAATCAATTGTTACAAACAGTATGAATTTTTGATTCTCAGCGCGGTTCGAATTGACAACAAAATACTCAAGTTAGTTAAAAAACTTGAAAAAAAAAATAGCAATGCAGCTTAACCATAAAATATAGAGATAATCTAATAAACAATAAAATAAATTTTTGCAAAGTCGTAGATTTAAAACTCAGGAACTATTCGACCGATTTTGCTCAAATATTACATTTTGCCATTTGAAATTAAATTCTTAAAAATAATTTAAGGAATTATTATAATACAAATTGTTTTCCACTATTATTAAATAAAATAATAATAAATATTTATTTATATTTTTGGATTGGCGAATTTTATAATCGTGCACACCAATTGTTCAATTCATTCAAAAAATTCTCGGGATAGGGTGAAATATGCAAAAAGTAAAATTAAGAGGACCAAACCTTGGACTGCTCTCCAGACCAAACTATTGGGACCCTAATTTCCAGATTGCGTCTACCCCCTATATTTTGGAGTTCAGAAATCTTAATTCATCGAAAGAAAGGTATGATTATTCAGAAAAAGTTTGCGTCTAATTTCATAACTTAAAATATCGTTTGCAATAATTAATTAGCATGTTTGTGATTACCGTTTTGAACCATTAGGATTGAGTCGTTCAACGTGAAGATCCTCAGATCATTAGATCAAAAGTTATTCAGGGTGGTCTATGTTTTTTTGCTTTTTTGTTCATTGCACATTAGGGATCGTAAATCATTATTTAAATGAGGAAGAAATTAAAACGTTAATTAAATCTGCCTAAATGTTATCAAAACTGTGTGAAAAGGAGGGTGAAAACATAAAAACCAGTTTATTTGCCTGCTGAAGCTTGCATTTGATTTTAATAATCGTCTTCTCATCTGATAATAAAAAATTTACGATGTTTTACACTTCGTACTCATGGCAAGTTATTTAGTAGTTTTCGATATTGTTTTTATTTTTTCCTCTATTTAGCATCAAATCAAGATCAATTTTCTCTTTTTCGACCGGGGTGGTAGAAAAAATATATTACGAGTGGTCATTACAGAACACCTTGTATTCTACTAAACCAACATTGGAATGAATTGGAAAATCTACATTAATTGCAAAATATGAAATTATATAGATGAATTGCACTTACAATACCTGCTCAGTTGTATTTTGTTTCCTTACAAAGAACCAAAGAAATTGAACCGAAGCCTACCACCTAAACTAAACTAAATATAATAGAACAAAAATAATTTTTTTTAAAAAAAGTTGCAGCGAAACAAAAACTGGTTAGTAACGATTAACTGGTTAGTAAGTTAATTGAATCTAGATCTTTCAAATTCTTCGGGGGAAAAATAAATAAATAAGTTTTTAAACAAAAAAAATTTCAGTTATACATAGTATGCAGCATCGTGTTTTACCGGGCCGAGCGTAATTCTGGACTTAGTAAGTATTAATCCTCACCAGGCTATCTTAGATTATTGACTGAAAAAAATTATTGGTTTTATAAATATTATATCATCATGGTCTCGCTTCTGCATTATTTACCGAATCAAATTATTGGCTTGATAAGTATTATTCCATCAACGAACCAACTCCTAATTATTATTGATCGAACCTAATTGTTGGCTTTAGGGATGTTAAATTATCAACGGATATAACTCCGAATCCGCAGTGACGGGAGATAATAATTGATTTTAAAAATGTCGCATCATCAACCGGTTAATTTCTGCAGTACTGACTGAACATAATACTTGGCTTTATAAATATTGCATCATCAACGGATTAACTCATAGATTATTAACCGAAAATAAATACTGATTTTAAAAATGTTGCATATTCAAAGGGTTAACTCATACTTTACTAACCGAATATAACTGTTGATTTAATAAAAGTTGCATTATAAACGTATTAATCATACTATATCAACCGAACATAACTGTTGGTTTAATAAATGTTTCATTATCAGCGGATTAGCTCATACTTTTGAATCGTATTAATGAACATAACTGGTGGTTAAAATAAATGTTGCATGTTAAACGGATTAACTCATACTATATCAACCGAACATAATTGTTGGTTTAATAAATGCTGCATCATCAACGAAATAACTATTATTGATCGAATATAATTGTTGGTTTAATAAATGTTGCATCTTCAACGGGTGAACTCACACATTATTAACTGAACATAAATGGTGGTTTAATATATGCTGCATCATCAACTCATACATTATTGTCCGAACAGAACTGTTTGTTTAATAAATGTTGCATCATCAACGGATTAACTCATACATTATTAACCAAGCATAACTGTTAGTTTAATAATTGTTGCGTTATCAACAGATTAATTTATACATTATTAATGAACATAACTGTTGATTTAATGAGTTATCAACAGATTAACCAATAAAATGACCGAGCATAACTGTTGGTGAATAAATGTTGCATCATTAAAGGATTAACTTGTACATTATTGAACGAATTCAATTGATGGCTTAATAAGTTTATATCTTCAACGGTTTAATTTCTAAATTATTGTTTCACTAAATAGTGTTTATTTCTAAATAATCATTAGATGTTATAATACATTGTATGCCGACAAAAGTAAAATGTTACAAAAATGATATTTTTTAAACAAAAATTGAAAAAAAGTGTTTTCTAAAAGTATCTGTTTATTTAGACTTAAGAGTCTTTATTCAGAAACATGCTATTTGGGGTACCAATCACTAACTATAACCTTAATCTTTTCAAATTACAACTAGTAAGGAGCTATTACTAGTAAGTAATGCTGTAGAACTTACATGTGATTTAAACAAATTTATAAACCGAAGCATTTGGCTAAGGTTTTCTAGAAAAGCATGGCAACGAAGTAAACAATTGAAAATCGAAACCAAGAATTCCTTCCTCATAACTTTCATCAAGTTAAAAAGTATTCTATCTGCATAAATATTTGCAGTAGCAAACGTATGAATTTATCGAATGCATCTAGTTCCGAATAACTAAGTTTTCTTTTTTGTCTCACGAACGCTATGATATTTACACTATCGACTTAAACTTAAGCTATTTAAGCTTAGACTCTACAATTCTACTATATTGAACACAAAACTTATTTGTGAAATTGTCTACCGTAGCTTCTTTTTACATGGTGTGAATATAGTCAGCTGTCTCTTTTATAAATGGCGTAACTATTTATCTTTAAAATACCAATTTTTGTAACGTTATGGGTAAAAGTTTTGGTGAAAGAGAATGCAAAGTAAATATCGAATAAACCTGAAAACATCGCGCTGTTTTGCTTTTGCAAATGATCCTTTAAAAATTGGAAAATATATTGATGTTCTGAAATACACTTAACAGTTTAGTACAATAGATTGAGGAAAATGCGTTATGATGATGAGCTGTCCCAATGACATGAAAATATATTTATTTTAAAGTAAAAAACAAATCACTTTTTTACGCGAGACACTAAAGAAAGAAAAGGTTATTTTGTTTTATTTAATGCTTTTTTTTTGCCAAACTCAGTATTTTTGATCAATTAGTCATTGATAGGGCCGCGATACCCTAGTGGTAGGGCTTTGGACTCGTGTTCGTGAGAAGGGGAGTTTGAATTCGCCGGCTGAAGAATCCCCGTGTCATAAACTGTGAATGGCACACGTTAAATCTGTCGGGGTCACAGAGTCCTCCAAGTTCCCTAAAATATCAATACCTCAGGGGAGATCCGTGGTGGCTCAGAGGATAGAGCGTTCGCCTTCCAATGAGGTGAACAGAGTTCGAATACC